CGACTCGAAACACAGGTAAGGTAGGGTAAGGTGAGGTCTGGGGATCGAGCCCTGGGATCCGCATCTGTGTCTGCAAAAGGTGAAAACCGTTTCAGGATAGAAGGTGTTAAGGATTTCCATAGAAGTCACTAATTATAAGTTAGTAATCATCTGTATTGATGAATTATTTCAAATTGTTACAGACAATGGACCCAGGATTCCAGGAGTGGTAGAAGCTCATCTGATGCCAGACAAAGCTGCGATGTTTAGTGGTCTCGGTTAGCTGATGTAGGTGCTGAACCTGTCAACACAGGAGCTTGAGACCTGGTAGAGAGATCTGGGGATCTGTAGAGGGTGGAAGGCAATCAAGTGGCCAACTGGGGACTGCTGCTAGGTCTACGATGGTTGAAGCTGGGGTGGGTCACGCTCCCCTGTAGCCTAACATGTGGGTGACATGAGACCGAGGTTAGACCGGGTGGTATGCACAGGACAGCTTCCTTCGGTTTTCAGTAGGGTGATAGCATCTCTTGGAATGTAGGGTTTGGTAGAAGTAAAAAAAAGGTGAGGAGCGGTCCATGGATTTTCCCTTTTTGCATAGCAGAGTGGTCCATGGATTTTCCCTTTTTTCATAGCACCTTCTGAAATACTTCTCGACCGAGGCTGGGTAATGGCTTCGGTATTATCCAAAGTATCATCAAATACCCATTGTAATCTCATTTATTCTTATAAGGAACGCTGGGCCTGGTTCCCAGCACGGAAACAACAAAAAAAAGAAAAAAAAAAAGAAAAAAAAAAAGAAAAAAAAAAGATAAAAAAAACTTAAAAAAAGTGTGGTATTCCTTCCAGTCTTCCGCTCTGCGTCACTCTCCTGCTTCTATAATGCTACGGTTGTGGAATAGACTCCTCCCCTTCCAAACGAATAGAGAGGGGTAGGGGTTTCGTCAATCGCTGTTCACCACCTTCCACATCTACAGTTCACCCAACCTTTTCCTCCTGTCCTTTTCTAAACACAGTCGACCCTTTGTTGTTGTTATTGTTGTTTGTTTGTTTGTTTTTTAAATACAGCTGTCTTCTCCTCATATGGGGGACAGTTGTATTTTTTTCAACTACCCTATTTTCTTCTCTCAATATTGTTTCGCCTTACACTAGCTACTCGTATCTATGCTCCACTCTAATCACAAACCTGACAAGCATATCCCTGAATAATGACCAAACCACAGACAACGAGCTAGAGCCTCCTACAGACGACAAACTGGCACCAACTATGGACCTAATACACCCTAAGCCAAGGAGACAAGCCTGAGGGTTATGGGTCTACCAGTCGCTATATGCTTGCAGAATTGTTGGTCCCATCGAAACCAGTATATACACGTACCTTGACTATCCTAAGGTTATGAGTCTATACCTACCTAGCTCCGCTCTGTGCGGGGAGCAGCACCCAAGCTCCTTACTCCTGTGTGGGCCGGAAAGTCCCAAATGACTTCCACGACCAGCCAGGAGGGACAAGCTGACTGTCTCAGTCGGTGAACCCGAAGTATGCCACACAGGGGGTCGTGGGGATTAGAATGGATGCCGTGGGCAATAGAACCCACAACCTCCTGTGTACCACTTACGTGCTCAACCAACTGATCTAGCCCGCTTGGCCACGGTCGACCCTTTGTAAGATTAGTCTTCCTGAAATATACTCAACGTTCGCACTGGCGTTTTTGCAGTTCTAGCTTCGTTGTCTTGTCGCTGTCTTGTCGTTGTCGATAAAAGCCTATAATTCTTGTCGTGAGGTATCCAAACCACAGGGTTGAGTTGGGTTCTCTCCAACTTACCTTGTAGGGTGTCTTTGGAACGGACAAAGTTACCTTCCTTTTCGCGTTATCTTCCCCGTCTCTTTCTCACCTATAGTATCACCTTCCCTTCCCTCCACTTGGTTGCTCTCCTCTGTTTTCAAGCCTCCCTTCTGATACGAAGGTTCCTTCTTAGCCGATCCGCTTTGAACTCTGCTCTTACAAGCTCGGCCCCTCTTGTCGCCACTTGTGTCCCTCGTCCGCTTCTCCTCCTCCTCTTCCTCCCTTCCTTCCTCCTCTCCTCCACTTCTTCTGACCCTCTTACCTTCCCCCTTCTTGTGATCTCTTCTCTCCCGCATTAAAGGACTAACGCCGTGCCAGTAGGCGCGGCCTTGGTGGTTATGGTGTGGCTCTGCTCTACGCTCCTCTCTCCTCGAGTGGTTGCGGCAATGGCGCCCGCGATGGCGTGTGGCGTTCGTCACCAAAGCTTTCAATTCGAGTTTCCCGCTGTGAGCGCGCACGAGCGTTGCCGCTTGTCGCCGCGTACCACACGGGCAGTGTTAGCGTATCGCTTTGTTGGAATCTGCACGGGTTGTTTTGGGAGAAGGGCAGGGCTGGTCCCCGGATGGACCGGCCGGTGGCCCGGGCCGGTTCCCTCCCGGTTGCCCCCAGCGCATTTTCGCTGGGGGCTGAATTTTTTTTTTTGCCGGCGCGTATGTGTTCCCGAGGTCTCGTGGGGGCGGGCCCTGCCCCGCAATTTCGAAACCGGGTCCTGTAGGCCCGGATTTTTCAAGTCCAGAAAGTGGCCAATCTTGGCCGCCGATCGTCGCAGATCAGCGGCAAAGATCGGCCAGGACCCCATTTCTTAAGAAAAACGGGCAGAGGATATCCGCCACTGATCTGTGCAGATCAGCAGCGGAGAAAAGCCACACATTTTTCCTAAGATGTGGGTCGGGTAGGCCCCTTCTCCAATTTGTCATCTTGTGGTCCAATGGACCAGTTACCATTGGCAACATCTGATGCTCTTTCACCCTCAGCCACAAGGGGAACACTATGCTTCAGATGGGACTCTGCTGAGATTATATCCTTCTGCGACGTCCATGCCATCTGTGGAAAAAGTTATGGGTTCGGATTTTGGAATCGTGATTTCAGAGCCGTCCGAGGTGCAATCCCAAGAATGGACCTAAGCTATATTCTTCTCTCTATCTATCTCCAATGGACCTTGCTCCACTACATGTATCTGGACAGACTGCCAGGCAAGATACTTCCGGACTGACAACTCACCTTATGTAGAAACCAACAAACAGAAAACGCTCTCCCTCCACGAGCTGAAAGCTGGAACCATAACTTTTCTGCTGTCGAAATATACTCTGGAAGAGCTATAATTTCGGGCAAGGACCTTCTCTCATCATATCTGGTTCAGCTCATGGGGTATCAATATCAAATGACATACTCTACGAAGTGCTCCAGCCACGGGGGGGTCGTATAAGTGAACTTGCTTACTTGACCCCTCCCCGAGGAAGCCATAGTTGCCTGAATATGTCAATTATAACCCCCTGCCCCCCTCTGGAAGCCCCCTGAAAAATATTGTACCTTGAAAATTTTATTGCGGATTCGGACAGCTCTTGAAGAGCGCAGTCCGAATCTGCCCCCCCCCCCCAAAAAAAAGAAGATATTTGGGCACTTTTTTTTCAAAACCGGTTTCCCGGTTCACCCCCCCTGGGCTGGTCCGCCTCCGGTTGGACCGGGGTAGCTCAACCGGCCGGTTGCCGGCCCAGCACTGGAGCAGGGTGCTTTTTTACCTTTTCTGTGAGTACAATGGGCCATGGAAGAGCATGCTGCTCTGAGACCAACCATTCATGCACAGCCCTCCTCACCAAGATAGCACCATGACACTCACATAGACAAAGCACGCACGAGATGGGAGCTCAGAATAGTCTTGGCCAATCAACTGAAGTACGCAAGATTGTCTAAGTACCAGAAAGTTCGGCTATGGCTGCCAAACAACTCTCTCAGGTATGGTTGCTCTCCCTCAGCTTTGCCCTCACTTCCTGCTCTCTCTTTGGCCAAGACCTCTCTCGTCTCTGAATACCTGTCTCAGCTCTCTCCCATACTTCGACTGCACTTGATCTGGCTATGGCTACTTCCTATAGGCGCCCAACACCGTTGACTACTACTGTCAGCCAGGATCACAAAATAGTACTGGTTGCAATATCTTCAAGGAGCAAACCAGATTGTCTCGGAATAGGGTAGCAGCACTTCCACATGGACTCCCAATGGAATAGGTGTTGATAGCTTCCTCAGGTGAGTTTTATGTACATGCTCATCCACCTTCCAGAGTCCTTCTGGTTGATCCCCTTGCTTTTGCCTGTTGCTTCCGGAAGTTTGCAGAATTTCCTTGGACTTGACTGCCTGACTGGAGCAACTGATGCTTGGCCTTACGGTTTCTGCTCTGCTTAAGTCTACCGGTGCTCCGACCCATAACTAAATCGAACGGGACTTACTACGACAACTTACTTAAAGCTAGCCCAGCTAGGCAGTTGCCAACATTGTACGAACAAAAGCTACTCTTTCTGGGAATTCGTAACTATTATACACACAACTGGGCTATCCTGCCCAAAGAGTCGTGAACATTGTACATGCGGCTACGGCCATCAATGGAACAAGGACTGGGACCCGAGACTAGGACTTGGGACTGGCACAGGGGATTGAGATGGACTGGGACTCGGGACTCGTACATGGGGCTGGGACCAAGGCTGCAGCGGTGAAATCCCTTCAATCATTCAATGCAAACAAATATCCAGAAAACTTTCTAATCACCTCTATGTCAGTGTCGAGTTAAACAGTTTTTAAACTCCTTTTCAAAGTCTTTGCGTTCTGCTGTTATGATGAGGATTGGTGAGGCTCCAGGGGACTTGCTCCTATTGTTATGGCTGTGGCGCATTGCGTTCGCAACCTAAGAATATTTGGAAGGAGGGAAGAAATGTCAAAGTTGTGTGCTGTGAGACTGAGATTCACCTCTCTTTTCCCTTCACTGCATGATATGCACACTGATGATGTCATTGCCGAAAAGTATGTGCCATCCATATTGCTTATGATGAAAATGTGTGATCAGTTCGGGGGAATATCATCCTCCAGTGCATGTATTGGTATCACTGGAATACCCTACTGCTATCGATTCTTCTTGACAAAACATAACTATGCTGCAATTGTTTCCCTCTCTTGCGTCTGTGCATCTTGCAGCATTTTGAGGCCACTGCCGATGACATCCAGCCACAAGTAATCGCCATCGAGCCGCTTCCACCAAATTTTGAGGTAAGGAAAAATCTCAAGGTAGTGTACGCTTGCAACTCACAATAAGAGGACATTCCAGTGAAACTCTCTTCCTCTCAGTAAGAAGATTAATGGAGGGTAGATAAGGTTAGGCCCGTTATGGACATTACTGGATGCTGCTGCCCCCAGCTACAGATTATCTCACCAACTTATGATGTCGCATCTGATGGCCATGGCAAGCACCAATATGCTCTCATCACAATGCCACATAATCCGTACTTCTTCCACCCCTACACTCTCTACCCAGCGCAGGAGACCACTTACCAGCCGCCGAGAACGTCAACAACAGTCCCCGCAATACCTTCCAATGCTGCCGACCCCATCAGCCCTGCCTCGCCAACTTTAGGAAGTGCTGCTCAGGGAACCGCTCTCTGATACCAAAATGCAAGGAACCAACCAATGGGGCCACAAATTTTCCGAGCAGCAAAAGACTCGAAGCAGAACATGCATATTTAAGCAAGATCGAAAGCAGAATTATAAATCTGAAGCTGACGACCACACCCTTAACGAATCCATGACAAAACACTTCTTCGCAAAAATAAAAGGTAACGCTAGAAATAACAACATCGAAGGGTTGAAGGACCCAGACAATCAGAACAGGGTCCACCTATCAGGCTCGGGAATGGTGAAAATAGCCAGATCGTTCTACGTACAGCTCTACGAATCCAAAACACCTTCCCCCCTCCCCTCAGCCCACTCAACAGCACGGCAGCGTATGATGGCCTACTTGGAGAAGACAATCACACCAGAACAGACCGAGGGGCTGGACAAACCACTCTCGTTGGGGGAACTTTACACAGCCTTGACTCAGATGGGTAACGATAAGGCCCCGGGCATTGATGGACTATCGAAAGAATTATGGGTCCACTTCTGGCCCACACTAGGAGAGGACCTTCTCAAATTTTTCAATGACAGTAGAGACCGAGGAGGACTAGGCCAATATCTGAGTACAAGTGTAGCATCGCTACTCCACAAAAAAGGCGAGAAAGAGGAGTTGAAAAACTATAGACCCATCTCGCTACTCACAACCCCCTACAAAATCCTAGCGAAAGCACTGGCCAACAGAATAATAAATCTGACAGACAAGTGCTTCCACATCGACCAAGAGGGCTTCATCCCAAGCCGGTACATACTCGACAATGTGATGACTTTGAACGAGGCGGCCAAAAAGATAACCGAAGAAAGGATGAAAGCAACGATCCTGTTTTTCGACTTCGAAAAGGCCTACGACCAAGTCAATTGGGACTTCCTTCACGCTTGCATGGAAAAAATGGGGGTTGGCCCGAACTTCAGGGATTGGGTCAAAGTGTTGTACGCTGACGCAACCGGCAGGGTGCTGGTCAATAGGATCCTATCGGATACTTACCCCATCTCCACATCCTTACGACAAGGTGACCCCCTAGCTCCGCCCATTTTTCTCTTCATTATGGAAGCCATAGCATCCTTCCTCCGCAAAGATCCGTCCATAATCCGGCTCACCGAACGGAACTTCAACCCACTCCACGACTTCGCCCTACCCACCGCTCTGATGTTCGCAGACGATCTCACAGTTCTGGTCCGTGCTAATAACAGTTCCTTCCAAGCTCTCGCGAGGGCTATGGAGGCTTTCCGTCTCGCTTCCGAAATGAAGGTCAACTGGAGCAAGACCGAAGGATGGTGGCTAGCAAACGAGACGCCCCCCCAACCCGAGGGCACAGCCACACCCATGTTGTGGTCCACAGGCGAACAGGCACTCAGATACCTAGTTGTCATGGTCGACAAGGATGGCGTGTGGCCGGGCATGGGCCACAGCTTAATTGCTAAAGCAATAACTCGCTTGGCCCCATGCATGAACGCACAGGCATCGCTGATCGGGAGGGCACTCATTATGAACACAACCATCTTCTCCACACTATGGTACATCACAGCCATCTGGTCTCCTCTGGATGCCGACTTCCAAACCATAAAGGCTAGAGCAAGATGCTATCTTTGGACAGGGGACCCCAACCGAACCTCATGCATCAACAGGGTAGCATGGAGCCACGTCATTAGGAAACTGCAGGAGGGAGGCCTAGGGCTAATCAACCCCAAGCAAGAATCAACAACAGTACAGATGAAATGGATCATCAATATCCTGACCAGACAATGCCTACTATGGACCAAGATGGCGCTAGACAGCATAAGAAACCTAACACCGATAAGCTCCCCACCGAACATGAGCGGCTACTTCTGGATTATGGCAAAGGAGTGGACGATAAGATCAAGCAGACCCCGCAGAAACACCACACGTAACTCAGTCAACCAGGCAGCCCCAACACCCAACCCGTACTGGACCCCGACTCTGAAAGCCTGACAAAGTATGATGCGAAGCAAACGTGGCACGGCGGAGAACAAAGAAGAGGCCCTGAGACAACCGCTGTTTTGCAACGAGTGGATCAAGGACCCCGAGGGTAGTCCCTGGTCACTAAGAACGAAGGACCAAAGATGGCTGTCGTGGGTTGAAAAAGGGGTGTGTCAGGTAAAACACCTGTGGGCAGAAGAAGGGGGGAATGGCGAACGGAACAAGAACTCCGGAACACCCTAAAAGGATGTCACGCTCTCGCAGACAACCTAAGTTCAATCCAGAAGAGCATCCCACCCCCTTGGCTCCACCTCTTGAACGAAGACTTCTCCTGGAAACCAGGGGACTGGGGTATACTCGTATCCCAAACTTCACCGAACAGAGCATACCGGTTCGCATCCCGCACCTCAGCCACCGGCTACCTTTCCAAATTTTACTCCTATCCCATCGCCAATCACAACCTCCAGGAACTAGCCATTCTCAACAGAGAACCTTTGCTAGAGACGATAGAGTCCCTTCCTTCTTCGAAAAGTGAGGGTAACAAAAACCACACCATGGATAATCTTCCAGCCTGGCCTCAGCATAACGGAGCTCAAATTCGATCGCTCAAATTCGATCCTAAGGAGTGGATATGGAAACAAAGCAAAACCGGAAAAAACAGAACGATATTGGATTACGACGTCAAATTCGGGTACAACCTAGGCCTACTGACCACAGACCCCAACACCAAACTTGCAGACAAATGGAGAGAGACACTGAGCCTAGAGCCTACAACCTCAATATCCATCCCCTGGACAAAATACCTCCCCATCAGACCAGCTAAAATCCGTAGCTTACAGTGGCTCCTAGCCCATGCAGCACTCCCTGTTAACCGGTGGCTCCACAAAAGAAGAAAACACTCGGATCCCGACAGCTCTGAACTATGCGTAATGTGCGATGACAACGTCCCTGAAGACATCCCCCACTGCCTCCTCTACTGCAGCCAGGCCTCCTGGATACGGAACAAAGTCCGAAACCTATGGTCCCACCTCTTCTCATCCCCTCCCCCCAACCTCACCCCTCTGAACATCCTACTGCTATCTAACATCCCCGACACCCTCAGAAGTGGAAAAGCGGTCTGGTTCCACTTGATCAGGAAAATAGCCCTGTGGGTCATATGGAAAAGGAGATGTACCAGGACAATCGAGGGTTCAGAAGTGGCCAAGGAGGAAATGTGGAACCTGCTGCTGAGGATGGTGGAAACAGAGATCCGATGCAAATGGAGGAATATATCGACAGCAATGAGAGGCAAACCTGAATGACTCACACTCAGGAGACGAATCTTCATGAGAGACTGGTTGCTACAGGGGAAGATCGCGACAGTCTCAGACAATAAGTTACACTGGAAGAAATGGGCCACTACAACAACGACAAGGATTGTAGCCCCGAGAGGGACAAATTGAGGTTCTAGCCTCACACGGATAAATATCTCTCCCGGTTTTCTCATGCTTCAATACCTATTCGACAGAACCAACAGGGTATCTGAGAGGAAAGCTAGGGTAGGGCAAGCTGACAGTCAATCCTCCCTTACAGGAGTAATCAATGCTGGTCAGGGTTTCTTCGGCCAGACGGAAGGAAGCGTGGGTGTGTACTATGTTGTATTCAATCTTGACTTGCCGGGGGAATAGGAACCGGACTGACGCTCCCCAGAATGGACACGGAGCACAGGTCCATAAGGAGAGCACACCAAATGGGAACACACTGACACTGAAGTCTCTTCATAATGAAAGCCCAACTTTTTGCCTCTGCTCATCAATACAACCACAATGTAGCAGCTCTACTACAGTATGACCGCCTATACTACTATGCTACTCCCTCTCTATATGCAGCCTACTTCTCCCCCTCACACTCTCTTCTCTCTCTGTCCGCTCCCCTAACAATGCTGCAGAGTTGGACCACCACGGATATGCTCTTTGGCCATCACCAGGTAAGTCCACCTGTTCCCACCACTGTCGTTCTTCCCCTGATCACCAAACCGCAGCTAACCCGCGTCTGCTGCTCCCCTTCTTCGTCAACGAGCACTGACCTGGCTGCGTGGGCTCTGCCAAGAGCTAGTGCTGGCAGCCAGTGCCTTCGAATGTGTGGAATGCTGGGGCCTCCTCTCTTTTGTTGTCTCCTGGAGGCTGCGGCTACCTGACTGAAACTGCGTTTTTCCCAGACTGAGTACCAGGGCCCCCGCCTCTGCATCGAACCTGGAGGCTGGGCCTACCGGTTAGTTGGGGAAGCTGCACCCACCCTTCCTTTTGACAGTCTCACACCGGCCTTCACAAATGACTGACGGACCCTTTTTCTACCATGGCCTTCACTTAGGGCCAGGCCTAATTTTTCTGGGCTGCCTCAGGTGGAGGCCTGTTGAGGCCCGAAGCCTCACATGTTTCTTTTCCATTTTCTGAATGACTTGATTGTTTCGCCGATTCGTATGTACAAAATTACAAATAACATATGAAGTTTATGAACATTTGAACAAATTATGTACTCGAGCAATGCAATGAAATTACAAGCGCTTTGTAAATAAGAGTGTTCTCTGAGGGACTCTATTGTCAAGAGGGTGTGTGGTTCTCTCTCTAAGTCTTTCACTCGAGCACTGTGGTTACCAGAGTGCATTTCCTTCAGTTGTGCCCAGAAGCGTTTAGTACAAAGGCCAGGATCTGGGCCTGTGTTTCCGGTATTGTCTCCAGCTTGTTGTCCATGGCTGTTGTTCCAGTGGTATGTGTATATGATTAAAGGTGAAATGTTATGGATTGCTGCCTATAAGAAGCTAGCGCCTATGTGTCCTGTTTGCATTGTTTTCGGGTCTTTCTGTCCAGCATTCAATGTCTGCTCAGCCTATTCCTGCTTCAAAAGCAGTGGGCAACATACCATTCGTTAAGCTGAGCCCATTCCTAGTTGGTTATGACAGGAGTTGCAACAACTTGCCAGCATGCTTGTTTGCTAATATTTAACAAAGAGCCGAAAGAGTAGAGTTGAGTGTAAGTGAATATCTAATTGGCTGGGTGCTTGTTATGGCTCTCAGGTGCTCTGTCGTAATTTGGAGCTTCATGGACTGAAACATGTGCGTGCTATACAAGTTGGCTTGGGTGCAGGCGGAAATGGGCTGCAGCTCGCTGAAGGAAGTACTAATTCTGCCACATTCACATATTATCCTGAAATGCCAGGCAATTCCACTTTCAAACCATTGGAAAAGGTATTTGAAAAGCTTCTGCCTTTACTGAATTGCTTCAAGCTTTATGCCCACATCACACTTGAGATCAACATCAAACCAAACCAGCAAGAGAATCACTTGATATGTGTACACTCGAATTTGCTTACAACTTGAAATGATGTACGTGGTTTCTCAAGCTTTGCGGCCATGGCCATCCACCTCATCCTTAGAATGTGTAGCATATCAGAAAGTGAAATGCACTAACAGCCTAGGATCTAGCAATGATGAAAGTGGCAGCAACCAGCAGCATAGATGCAACATTCACCAGATGTCAATGTGCACAATGCAACAAGTAAACCAACGAGAAAAAAACAACAACAACACATTTGCATCATCATCATCATGGGCTGGGGAACAGCGCAGCGGAATAATAGTAACCAAGAGGAMACGTGGACAACAACGGGAAAGGGAGAAACTTCGGAAGGGCAGGACATTAGGAAGATTGCCCTTCCGCTCACACACATAGGGAGAGATCCATAGAC